CAACCCATTTTGTGATCTGATGTTTCCCTGGGGAGTTACACCCAAGTGTAATTTAGAATTTGTAATTGGCAGCAGGATGAAATTGAAACCTAGATTTAGCTATGTAGGCCAGTGATGGTGAACCTTTTTCTTACGGAGTGCCAAAATTGCATGCGTGTGCTATTGTGCACATGTGCGTGCCCACGCAATCCTCCCCACCCCTCTGCACATTCATGTATTAACCCCCCAGGCTCCCGAGGCTTTCCTGAAGCCTGGGAAGGGTGAAAATGGCTTCCCCAAGCTCCCCTGGAAGCCCTCTGGAAGCGGGAAACGGATTGTTCCTGAACTTCTGGTTGTCCTGTTGGGATCCTTTTTCGCCTTCCCCAGCCTCCCTTTCCTGAGGCCTGGGGAGGGCAAAAAAGGCCTACCCTGGCCTTCCAGAAGGGCGAAAAATCAGCTGGCCAGCACACAAATGCACATGCACATCAGTGCTGATGGTTGGCATGCCACCAAATATGGCTCCACATATCACCTGTGGCACGTGTGTCATAGGTTCACCATCACGGATCTAGGCAGTCCTATGTTTCAATCACGTTGAGTGATATTGACAGACAAACAATGCAAGAATCATTGCAAGCAATGGGTAGAAACTAATCAAGGAGAGAAGCAACTTAGAACTGAGGAGAAATTTCCTGACAGTTAGAACAATTAATCAGGAGAACAACTTGCCTCCAGAAGTTGTGAATGCCCCAACACTGGAAATCTTTAAGAAGATGTTGGATAGCCATTTGTCTGAAACGGTATAGGTTTTTCTACCTAGACAAGGGGTTAGACTAGAAGACCTCCAAGGTCCCTTCCAACTCTGCTATTGTATTGTATTGTATTGTATTGTAAGCAGCAAGAAAATAATTTCTATTGGAACCACTAAAAAGTGTTACTGATGTTTGAAACAGCTGTTTTCTAATTTTATAATCTTACCACTGCATTGCTTCCAATTATTTTAGGAACTGAGTGATCAAGCTGGGTCAGAGTTTGAAAATTCTGATGTGCGATGGGTCATCACAGTGCCTGCTATCTGGAAGCAGCCTGCAAAGCAGTTTATGAGGGAAGCTGCCTACAAGGTAAGGTGAATATTACAGGTATAAAGGGTAACAAAGATAACACTGACATAGGTATTCAGGTGTAGTACCTAGGTCAAAAGGGCTAAAGCATTTTTAAATTCCAAAACATTCAGATAACATTTGGAAGTATCACAGAGATTTCTTCTAATTCACTGAACTGCAACGAGGAAAAGGTGCAGCACAATCACACTTAGAAGTTTGTTTGTTCATTTGTTCATTTGTTNGGAAAGCCGGAAGGGTGGTAAGGGTCCGGATCTCAACGAAATATTCTTCTTCAAAACAACAAAGGTTTCTGGTTTGGCAAAAAGGAATTTTGCCTTGTTGCTGAATTTTTTGCTGATAAATTAGAACAGTGTTTCAAGCATATCAATTTTAAGGTATGTAGATTTCAATTCCTATAATTCCTCAGTCTCTACAGCATATTATGGTTCTTACTGATTCATAATTAAATATTAGTTTATATAAGAAGGATAGCAAAAAAAAAACTTTTTGGAATCATGGCAAATAGCGATTTAAAGCTTTACCTCTTGATTGAACAGAGGTACATTTTCTGTCTGCAGAATATCTAAAGAAGTGCATCACATTTGAAATATTAAGGGGAATGGGGAAATACATGCAAATATCCTTTGTTACTGGAAGCAGATGGTTGTTAGTCAATGTTTTGTTGTTATCATCACGGCAAAATGTTGTGGATGAGATTCTTCTGGTGATACTTCCACTAATTAATCCCCTTTGTTACATTAATATTAATGTTTGTTATGGAGCATGTAAAGTGGGATAAAGTTGCATCATTTTGAAGCCATAATTAATTAAGAAAGCTAATTGATCATTGTGTTAAAATGCTTGAAGCAAGAAATGTATGTTAACCACTTCCAATTTAGACCTAATCACGGGACTTGGATTGCACAAATAGGATTAATGGAATCTGCTCCTCCTGCATTTTCTGTGCAAAGTAATAACATACTCATAGATTAGGTGCTTTGCCCAGGATGAATCCTCCACTGCTACTTCTAAATAACCAGAAATATTTTAGGGTACAAAGTAGGACTGGAGTCGGGTAAGCTATCCAGCTCAATTAGTCAGCAATAATGTGTGCTATTTGTTGACAAAGAGGGAAGTGCATCAGCTGAGAGGCTGGGGTGCAAGAAAAGCAAAAGTTAGCTCCTTCTGGCCTGTTTCATAGAGCAGAATGTCCGCCTTTCCCCTCTATTAAAGCCTCTTAAATAATAGACATGCAGTTAGTGAAATCATTGCAGGGACCATAACTGAATTACTTGTGATGTTAAATTCCTATCTTAGATTTCAAAAAAGAACGATAGGGGGTTTAGACCAGTGGTCCCCAACCTTTGTGATTGGGGGAGGAGGAGAGGGGAACTGGGCCACGTGAGCGGTGGGCCGGCACATGCATGCGTGTGCACACGTGTCGACTGCAAGTTGAGCTGTGCAGGCGCATGTGCAAGCCAGCCTCCTTCGTACAGCCCAGTTCCAAATAGGCCGCGACATGGTAGTGGGCCGCATCCTGGAGGTCGGGGACCCCTTACCAAAAAAGAATGTATTAAAATAGAAAATAATTGTGATACCCATTTGTTTTGGGACATGTAGGTTCAAGAAATGATTTCCTCATGAGAGGTAGTCCTCGACTTACAACAGTTTGTTTAGAGACCGCTAGGAAGCATTGGAAACAATGACTTATGACCATTTTTCATACTTAAATGACCATGGTCACATGATCCAAATTCAGACACTTGGCAACTGACTCGTATTTGTGACGTTTGCAGTACCTGGGATCTATGATCCCCTTTTGCGACCTTCTGACAAGCAAAACCAACGGGGAAGCCAGATTCCCTTCACAACCGTGCCCCTAACTTAACAACTGCAATGATTCACTTAACAACTGTGGCAAGAAAGGTCATAAAGTGGGACAAAACTCACTTAACTATCTCACTTAGCAGCAGAAAGTTTGGGCTCAGTAGTCGTAAATTGAGGAGTGTCTGTATTTCCTGTAATGGTGGACTTAGATTAATTTTTCCTCACATTCTTTTATTTTTAAAGAAAGTTTTATTTTTATTCTCTTACATACCATTTTAAGTATACATTCACATAATGGTTATTCTTCTTCACATTTATCATTCTTATACATTTATTATTTCATTTAATAGGTTATAATATA